CCCCACACCCAGGGTGCATGCCACAGGGCTCCAGAGTGCTCCCCCAGGGCTGCTGGCACTGCCCAGTTGGAGTGCCGACTGTCAGTCCCCCTGGAGACAGCCGCCTGGCACGTGTCTAGTTCTCGTGCTGGTGTTTGCCCTCAGTGTGAGACACGTGGGGTGGCTAGGGAGATGAGTGGTTTCCTCTCAGCAGGGTCCTCGTAACTACAGGGACTGGGACCTTAGCAGGGTTTTGAAATGCAATTATATGGTGTTGGCACAATGGCTCCTTTTGAGTGATGGCTGCTACTCTAATTAAAGGTGACTATTCTCTCTTTTTTTATTTTTATTTTATTTTTTGGTACCTGGGATCAAACTCAGGACCTTGTGCTTGCGAGGCAGGTGGCAGAACCACTAAGCTAAATCCAGGACCCCAAAGACTACTCTCTTTTAACTGATGGCTTTTACTGTTTTTTTAAACTGATGGCTGCTAGAGCCTATTCTCCTTTAGATCAGGCCTGCTGTCCTTTCTTGGGACGTGTCGATCTCTGCGTCAGATCTGCAGAGTCAAGCATGTTGTACAGCATGTTAGTCTGGAAGCCCCTGCCTGGTGGTCTGAGCTTAAGTGTGATTTTAGAGCTTTTTTACCCACCTTCATTAAGGAGAATCCATTGAATTCAGGCAGGACTGTCAGCACAGGCACTGCCTTCCTGGCTCCCAACAGTTTATAGAAAGCCTCTGTGACCAAAGCCTCAGGTTTCCCCTAGAACACTTACCTGCCTCTTCCTCCACATTGGGCTGTAGGTAAGAGCTACCCCGGCACTGTGGGCAGCACGGATGGCCTGTAGCAGCTACCACATGCACCTGTTTCCCCACTCTGCACATCCAATTACAAATGGGCTGTGGAACGGAAGTGGCCAGCAGCGATCACCCAGGTGGTAGGGTGAGCCCTTTCCCTGGCTCTGTGGTACCCAGTCCTCCCAGGGACAGCAGGGAGGAATTTGGTCTCAATCATCACCTCCACTTGAGCACACAGGTGGGACGCCAAGTTATGGACTCTGCTTGTTCCTTCTCCGGGGCTCAACCAAGCCTGGCCCAGATGACTCCAGTGTGGTCCCCTGTGCAGCCCTGACAAGGCACCATGACCTTTCTTACAAGGATCTCATTCTTGTGGCTCAAGGGTGGGTGTCTGCCTGGCAGTGGAGGGAGGGCTGAGTGTGTTTAGAGGGCAAATCCCTGCTTAGAAAACAATCAGGGGAAGGGATTGCTGCGGGTCAGCTCTGGGTAGGGTGTCCCAGCTGGCACAGGCTCTATGCCTATTCTCCAGGTTGTGCTGCCAACCAGCCAGCTTTAACCTGGGATCAGAGAGCGTGTCCCCAGGTGCTCAGACACTAGCCCAGACACAGGGCTGAGCCTGACCCGTTCCTACCTTGTCTACTCTAGTGACAACATCACCTCATGTCCTGAGGTTTCTATCCCCCCAATAGGAAACAGGGTCTAAGGAGTCTGCTCAAGCCCACACTGGGCGTGGAGGAATGCAGAGTTGGTGCTGACCCCTGCCCTGCTCTCAGTGTCCCCTCCTCGACTCTGGAGGTTCTTGAAGCTCAATAGGGTGGGAGGAAATGTGAAGCCCTGGGGACAAGGAACAGGAAGAGCCTTGGTCAGTGAGAAGGGTGGCCAGGTGTTAGCTCCAGGCAGGGGTGGAATCTGCAAATCTGCATGTCCTGGCCATGCTGCCCAGTGCTGACCATGCGGACGTGTCTTGCCTGTGGTCTGGCAAAGCAGCAGAAGCTCTGGACACTGTGCTGTGCCTGGCAGTGCTTTTGAGCCCAAGTTCCCATCATCCCTGGGCTTTCTCAAGCCATCCTGCTGCCTCCTGGCCTGTCCTCCAGTGAAAGCTGTCCTCAGGGCACCAGGGGCTCTGGGCTGTGGCCCCACCGGGCAAAAACTTGACTTCAGGTCCATACCACCCTCAGCTTCCTCCAGCCCCTGAGGACACCCAGGCCTGTGCACCTGTGTGCTGAGCCAGGGACTGTCTCCTCCAGCCTCACTCTGGTCTCCTCCCTCCTAGTCCCCCTCCTGAATGTGGATTTAGGATCAAAGGGCAGGGATGGCTGCAGCTGAATGTGGAGATGGCACCGTGTCTCAGCAACAAGAAAGGGCTTTGGCAGCTATAGGTGAGGACCTGCTATGTACAGGTGACACCAAGAAACTGGGGGACTGGGAGGTAGCATCGCTGGCCCCATTTGTCACAGAGAACAGTGGGGTAACCCATGTGGCGGCCTTTGGTGGACACGGAGAGCAGAATCCAAGGCTAGAGAGAGTTCATCAAGTGCCCTTGGAAGCTGGAGCCTGGACATGGGTCTTCCCAGCAGACAGTACAGCTAGAGGTGGACAACACAGCCTTTTTGAGTTACCCAACGTTAATGGGACCCTAGGTCACAGCTGCCACAACCAGTAGTCTGTCTCTTTATCTACTTTTCTTTCCTCCCCCTTCCGGTCCACCCTTCCCTCCTTCTCCCCTTCTTCTCTAGGGCCTTTGGCTTCCAGGGAAAGGACAGCTATAGACTCAGCATGGACTGACAGTGTCCAGCTGCCTGCCCCAGGGCCTGGGGGCCCTCAGGGCACAGGGCTTCCCTTGCTTCCAAGCACATAAAGGATGGGGCTTCACTCTTCAGCACTCTAGGTGCTCTGCACGTTATACCTGACCTAATGCTGGCCAGGAACAGGGGTCTTACTGGGCTTCTCGGGATACCAGCCCCAGAAATAGTCCTGGTCATTTCTTAAAGGACCCTTCTCTGAGCTGGAGATTGGAAGGCCCAGCATGGAAGGCACAGGAAGCCCAGGATTAGAGGCCCTGTGCTTGCACCCCCAGGTCCCCATCCCTGAGCTTGTTACTCCAGAATCGCCCACTACATGTCCTGCTCTGAGTGCTGAGATCCGGTTGAGAGCAAGATAGACACCAAGGAGTTTTAACAAAGAATAAAGAAATGCCAGTGTGAGCTTCCAAAGACCCCAGTGCTATGTGGAGAATGTGCATGGTGCAGCATGAGCTGGGTCCTCCCCGTGGTGTGGAATCCTGTAAGACCCCGCCTTGGGAGATGTGGGCGAAGGGCATTCTGGGAGGGAGAAGGATCCTGTGGAAGCCATGACAGGAATGGGCTCAGCACTTTGGAAGACCAGTTTGGCTGGAGCGGAGTGGGTGAGAGGGGTGAGGATGACGGTAGAGGGTGCTGGATAATGGAGGGGTTGGGAAAAGGGGACAGGGACTGGATTGCACTCCAAATGACCTGGATTTACTTTTGAAATGAACACCCTGGTTTAGAGGTATCTCTTCATGTCAACAGGTCAGTCCTTTGAACTCCACCTGACAAGTCTGAGTGTGGGGTGAATAGGAAGGAAGGGAAACCAGGCTAGTCAGCTGACAGGCTACTAAGATGTAGGGAGAGAGAGAACGGTGGAAGAGAGAACAAGAAGGTTGGAGAGTAGATGGGTGATGGATGGATGGATGGGTAGATGGACAAGCAAGTAGAGGAAGAAGGGAGATGGAGAGCAGATAAATGAGTGGACAATGGACACAGTCCCAGTGGTTGTTGGTAGCACTGGGAGAAAGCACACAGTGGAGTTGAGAAAAGGCAGCCATTGGTCTCCACACCCTACCCACCTTACCCCAGGTGGAGCCAGGGCAGATGGCCAGATAGGGCACCTGAGGCCATGCTGTGAGCCAGTCTCAAGCTGCATAGACAAAAGCCCCTCTACCTGCTCTTTGTCAGTGCAACTCAACCCCCAAGAGGAATGAGGCCCTAGGTTGGGGGGCATTTGACCCCTTCTCCCTCACCCACTTCTGAGTCCCTAATTGTTCCCTAAGTACAGCAGAAAAGGCTCTGTGTGTCGGGGAACACATGGAACCTTGATCCTGGCTAAACGGGAGCTATTGACCACCCAAAGAAGCTTCTGGCTACATTCCCAGAAAGCTGGGTGGGGAGGGAAATTGATCAGTAGGTCTATAAGGAGCTTGTCCTGGGGAGTAGACAGATCCAGGACTGGAAACCAGAGTCAGCTGCTCCAACTGCCCAGGCTGTGACACAGGGCAAGGCTTTCTGTCCTCAGAGCCTCAATTTTCTCCTCTATAGAATGGGCTGACAGCTGTGTGGGGTTCAGTGCATCAGCTGGGAAGGTTCCGGGCTGACGTGACTGGTAGCTCTCTATTTGGGATGGGGCTGTGCAGGCTCAAGGAGTGGACTGTCCTTTCCCATGGCTGCCAGGGGCCAGGTGAGGAGGTGAGAGGTGAGCTCCTGACTTGCAGAGCAGTGGCTATAAGTCTCCCTTATGAACGCTTCTTCTGTTTGTACCCCAGGGTGCTCACACACCGCTGCAGTGCTGTGTGGCAGGAATGGGGCACCACAGGCTGGATGTGAATTCCAATGCACCAGGTTTGAGCTCACCTGAGCCTCTTCTTGTTAAGGTGCTTGGGGCAACAGCCAGCCCTGGGCCACTGCAGGACGAGGCTTTGACCAGTGCAGCTTGGGTGGGTGGTGTCTTGTGGAGCCTGAGTTGAGAGAGGCGGACAAGGCCTGAGGATACCTGAGCCACTGCAACCTCTCCCTGGCACTCTGGGGCCACCTGGTCTCCTCTCCCCAGTCCTCTGTGGATGGGTAGCTCTTGGCTATGCGGTTGTTTCCCACCATGGAGGGCCATCACTGAGGAAAATCTGGGGCCCAGCATGGACCAGCAGCCCACTGAGGTCCATTTGGGCTGTGATCACAGTCCTTGTGGTCATAGCCCCCCTGGCAACTCTGGGAGAGCCCAGACTTAGATAGAGCCACTTTCCTGAGCTTGGCCACCTGGCCTTCCCTGGCTGATCACCCTCGCCCACCCTCAGGCCCTCCTTGTCTGTTGCTGAGAAGTCCCCAGGAGGTGGGGTCATCCCTCAGGTGTTCCTTATCCTTCTCCTGGATGGTGGAGGCCCCTCTAAGGCATGAGGTGTGACTGTGTGTCCTCCCCTCCTTTTGTCCTTCCAGAAGCCCCCCAGCACCCACGCCATGAAGGAGGAGGTCTTTCTCCGGCGCCGCTTCTCTCTGTGTCCACCGACCTCCACCCCACAGAAGACTGACCCCCGGAAACTCACTCGGCACCTGCTCCTGGGCTGTGAAAATGAGCTCAGCACCGTCAGCCCAGGTTAGTGTTGGCTGTGAGCAGCTGGGTCTTCCTAGCTCTGCAACCACCGTGCAACCTCAGGAGGTCCCATCCCCCTTGCCCTTGCAACCAGTAAGGGTGACATCCTGCTCTGCTCACATCCCCACGCTGGGGCTGTGTGGGTTTGATGGACAAAACATTCATAGCACGTTAAAGTGCTGGCTTCTTGGTGTGACCTGTGGGCCTAGGTGAAACCCATTCGGCCATGGAGGATGACAGGGCCCTCGCAGCCCATCCTGGGGGTAGCTTTGTTTGACTTAGGGGCAGTGAGGTACAAACATGGCAGGGACAGGCTCTCCTAGCTGGATGACCCCAGGCCAGCCACTGGACCTTTGTTCACTCACCTGTGAAATGGGGACAATATTAATAACTATGCCCAGCTGCCAAGAGGTCCCTGTCTCTGGGAGGGAATAGTTCAGAGCAGGCCTGATGTGTGCTGCTGTGTACAAAGTCCCGGGCACTGGAGTGCAAGTGGAGAGTCTCCCCACCCCTGCTGAAATTCTCCAGGCTTCCAGCCCTATCACCCCACTGTCCACAGAGGTTCCCAACCAACTGAGTCTAAGTTGAGTCCTTTCTGCACTATTGTGACTGCTGACCCCCAAGAGCCAAGCCCTTCCTTACTGGGGCCCTGAGGGATGGGAGGTGGGGTGGTGCTGGCCCTGGGAGACTCCAACTTGGTCACCTTCTCTTGCCCCCTGCTGTGGGGCCCGGAAGAGGCCCTAACCTTCCTGGCCAATTACTGGTGCTGCCCTGGGTGAGTGGGAGGGGACTGGCCCCCTATTGTCAGGACTTCAGAGCTGGTGGCCATCCCGTCCACAGTCTTAGCCAACAGATGGGGACACTGAGGCCCAACATGGGGAGGATCTTGTGGACAATCCCCTGATAGCAGGCACAGGAAAACTTGCAGTAAATCCTATGCCCTGGTTCACCTGACCCATTCTGCATGGCACTCACCAGAGCAGAGGTGGGGAGAGGAGGGACAGGCCCCAGTTGGTAGTAAGTTTCCAGGAGTTTGGTCCACAGAGTAGCTTGCTACCTTTCTCCCAGGAGTGGAGCAGCAGGTCTTCAGGACAGGGGCAGGCAGGTAGACATGAGCAGGCTGCAAAGTGGGGAGCCAGCACTGCCTCTCCCTGTCCTGCCTAAACACCTCCAACTTGAGATCCCTGTGCTCTGAGGCCCTGTGCCCTCCCTGCTGGGAAGCAGCACTACACAGGAATGGGCTCTGCTAGCTGTCAGCCGAGCCCCCGACAAGGCAGCACTGAACGCCTGATGAGAGCTCTGCTGACCCCACTAAGGCTTGGGTTAGGACATGATTGCTGTGTGCACAAAGACCTCCGGGGGCTGAGTCACACAGCAAGGCAGCACCTTCCAGGGCGCAGGGCTGCTGTGACACCTGAGTGACAGCTTAGGCAACTTTGGCAAAAGTACTTCCTCAGGTCACTGCCCTAGCTTTTCCAGGGAGAACTGCTCCCAGGCCCACCCCACCCCACCTGGTCCTGTGGGTCTGACTGTCCTCACTGCCTGCCTGGCACTGACCCATGTCCTGTGGCTTTAGCAGAAGGAGTCTCACCTTGCCCTTTGAGGCTGCTGCTCTGATCACTGACCCATGAGCCACAGGAAGCAGGAAGGGGTGGCCCACGTGTGGGTGCCCAGCCTCCTCTGCGGCCACCTCTGCTCTTCCTGCCCATAAGCAGCCTTGGAAACTCGCTTTAGGACAAGAGGAGCAAGGGCAATGGAGCCGTTTCCCCAGGATCAAACCAGACACCACAGGTCTCCCTCCTTCCTCTTCAGCCAGCCATGGTAGAACCAAAGATGGCATCTAACCACCTCTCCTCCCCACCAGGTCCAGGACCCTGGCAGCAATGGCATCCCCCAGAGGGATATGTAGTCCAGCGCTTCAAACCCGTGTTTGAAAGTCTGGATGCCACATTTTTCCCCCTGAGAACTGGGAAGCATTCAGACCCCACACCAGGCTCAGGTAGCCCTGATTTCCGCTCAACCCTCCCTAGCTTCCTCCCTGTGGTCATGTAAACCTGGCCAGAGCTCCTGAGTCCCTCCCAAGGGTGAGGCTTGCTGACGTTTATTAGCTCTCGCAGGGTAGTGTCCATAGCCACCGCCACCACTGGGTGGTGCCTGCAGAGCCTGAGCCACCATGTCCCTGCCCTCACCCTGACTGCTCTCTTTCAGGGAAGGATATGGAGCCCCACAGCCCACTGCTGACAAAGGAGGAAGAGCCCCCAACCCCCGGCTCTGCCACAAAGGTGCCACTGGTAAGAGCCCAGCATGGTAGGATCAAGGGGCAGGGAGTACAGCTTAGGACAACAGGGCACTCGTCCGACTTGCCATTCCCTGCCTGGTCCAAGGAACAACCCCAAATCCTGATTGTGGAACTTGGTGGGGGAAGGCACTGAATGAGGGTCAGTGACAGAGGTTTTTGGTTGTTTTATTAAAGCCATTTTCTTGGCAAGACCTGGGAGGCCTGGGAAGGGAGACAGGCTGCTGGGAGCATGGGGAGCAAAACTCACTCATGGAAGAAGCCCAAGTCCTCCTGTTGCAGGGAGACCCCTAAGGCAGGAGGTATGCCAGACACACCTTCCCTGGGTACCCCCAAGTTCTGGGGGAGCCCATGCTTTTTCCTGGGTAGAAAGGACCTGGGTCCAGGGGCAGTGGGAGTGGGGAAGACTCTCCTTTTCCCAGAGGGTCTGGGAAGGCCATAGTCCCAACACTGACCTGGTCCAGGTGACAGGCTGGGGGTAGTGGAGTGAGGCGGTCCTCCCCTGACCTGTCCACTATTACTCACTGTGGCTTTGAGTGAGGTCCTGGCTTCTTGGGGAACCCCTTTCCTACCATTCACACAGGACTTAGTGGTCTGACAGTCTGTACCTGAGCAGCCTCAAGAACAGCCCCTACACACCAGCCCCCTGGGCCAGTGTGCCCACCCAGCCGCCAAGCTGGACGGAGAGCAGCTCGCACTCAGTGATGTATTTACTTGTGTTTGTGTGTATATTAGAAATGGTGTTAATTGTGGCAAAATACATACAACATAAAACTTCCCATCTTAACCATTTTTAGGTGCATAATTCAGGGGCATTAAGCACATTCACAGCCATGTAGTTTCCTCACTGCCGTCCATCTCCAGGATTTCTTCATCTCCCTACACTGAAGCTCTGCCCCTATTAAACACCGACTCCTCATCCAGCTCACCAGCCCCTGGCACCCCCACCCTACTTTCTGTCTCTGTGGATCTGACAACCGTGGAGATCTCCTGAGTAGAATCCTGCAAGATTTGTCCTTTGTGGCTGGTTTATTTCACTAAGCATCTTGCCCTCCAGGCCCATCTGTGTTTTCGTGTGTGTCAGGAGCGCCTTCCTTTTTTGTGGCCAAATAATGTTCCATAAGGATGGACCTTATATTTCATAGCATCCATTGTTTTAGCCATGGACCCTTTGGTTGTATTTGCTTTTTTTTTTTTTTTTTTTTTTTTTTT